TTTGAGTTGCGCATCCAGTCTTTCGGCTCAAAAAACGCTCAGGACTCGGCTTCTAGAGGCGCTTTGCAGATAAGGAGGACGGAGTTAGAATCACCTTTCAATGCTCGACAAAGTGGTAAAGGACTCAACTGGAAAGGCCTCTTCGACTAAAACGCTTACCTTAAGTTGAGAATGGATGATGGCAATAGTGAACATGACAACAAAAGAGTCATTCATTGTGTAGTGTCATTCTTTCAACATGTAATGAATCATTACTTTGCTTTTAGATAGTCTGACCAAATCATTATTCTGTGTTTGCATAGCTTTGATGAGTAGGATTGACAAAGTGCACATACAAACGATTTTTAGATCTGGTTTTGGTTGTAAACATCACTTTTGTCATCGTGATCTTATTTGCATTCTACGCCTTCAACAATTTCTTCCCTTTCTAAAGCATGAAAGCTTATTCGCCTTTTCTTTTGTTTCCTGCATTCCTTTGCTTTCATCAGTCCATCACAGCCGAAATCAAAGAAGTCGTTGGCCACATGGATGATCAAGTAAGAGAACGGACAGTTGTAGCACGACTCCTGTATCACGTCATTTAGAATTTGGACAAGAAACAGCTTCTCTACATGCACGAAAGACTCCACGCAAACGAAGAAAAAATCATAAAGAGCCTTAAGCTCAGTGCACAACGGCAAGCACTCCTGCATAGAATAGAAAAAGTCAGGCAAGAAGTTTTGAAGCTTTTTTTGGTAATTTTGTGGAGAAACCATTCTCTTTATAGGAACTGGTACAAGAACAGGTACAGCTTAGCCCAGTTGGTGATATAGTGACCATCAACGAGAATGAAGGAATAGGAAAGTTCTTGTATGAGAGCGATATTCTGTTAACTAAGTATGAATTCTAGCCTTAAAGTACTATTTAATAAGAACATAAAAACTGTAGACCGCAGCTGGATGAGATTGTAAACGAGATTGGACGTGATCGAAGAAAACGACAAGCATTCAAAGATAAAGATTATCCCCGAACACTCTGGCCTGATGGCATAGTACATTTTTCCTTCCATAATAACACAAGTGAGAGGTTCGACATGTGTTCAAAAAAGAAGTCAACTTTGTTTAGCTAACAGACTACGCGACCTCTTCCGACATGGTGCTTTGAAATGGCAGAGGGAGACTTGCCTTAGCTTCTATGAGTACATCCACGGTGCGCTTATATGTGTACAGTAAGTTTCAACCCAGTTTAGGTGGGACTGGATTGGCGGGAGCTCGCCACGCAAATTCGCGCCCTTCTCCGCCGCTATAATATAGCATGTCGTGCTAGAAACCCACATCTGCGTCTCTGCTTTCTCCTCTGTATTTTTTTAGCAGAATGCCAGCGCTGGCGCTCGCAAAGCCTTCAGAGATGCGGACGCTGCTTCACTTGAAATGTTTAACCTGCTCCGGGTTGTAACAAACTGTATGCTATTGTTGCTCTCTTTAAACATGTCTTTATTTAGCACCAGAACGCATTGAGCTAAAGATTGACTCCGGTTGCTGGTCATACGTGGGAAACGCACATAAAATACAAACCCTCTCTTTGGGTGAGGGATGTGAAACGGTGAGCCTTCACAACTTTTCACGGCGTTGAAACATGTTGTTAAGCGCATTCAGCAGCTTCAAGATATGTGAAATGCTGGCGCATTCCCCGGAATCAATGAGTGCTTTAATTTTTAAATACTCTCATGCTTCAAGCCTGATTGTGTGTTTAAGCGATCAATTTTGCAAGCACATAAGACATATTTTTTGT